GCGCCAAACACAAAAGTTAGAAAGGCATAAAATGGCTAGGGGCCACAATTTAAAAGCCAATTGCTTAGCTCATCTCTGTACAAAATGAGCCTGGGACTTAGTCCAATTATACTTTACAGTCACTATCAAAGACCTGTTTTTTCAAGATCAATGCAGATCTGTCTAAAGCTCTGAATTGTATACATCAAAAAGAATGAAATCCAAGAGAATAAAGATGCACTTCAGAAAAATCACTGGCAAATTAGTCTAAGTTTAGACTGTCTTAGACTTAAGAATATTTTCACTTATATTCTTAACAATGGTGGGGAAAGCTCAATACTGTAAGTCAGCTTTAAAATGTGCACAAAAACATGTTTTCCTTTTGTTGCTGCCGTTAGCTGCTGTCACCTTGTCTCTGACTCATAGTCACCCTGTGAGCAACAGAAGGGAACATACCCAATCCTTTGCCCTCCTCACTGCCGTTGCTATGTTTCTGCCCATTGTTTCCCTTTCAGCCATTCAAACTGTTTGTAGGGAATAGTTTCAGTTATTTAAATTACTCTAAAATAATAGGAGATTGAGCCTTAAGAACAAAGGGTTTTGAAAGTAAACAGTGGTACCTGTTGAAAACAATTTTCTCTAGTGTGATGTGTGCTTGCTTGATAAACTACGCAAACATTCTACCATGTTCCCCACTTTTAACACATCCCCTAACTGGAATAATGCTCCAGACCTCGTTTCGCCTTAGGCAGTGCACTGGCATCCATTGCTAGGTGGGAAAATCATTGGAATGGACCATACCTATTTGACAACAGATACAGGAAAGTTTAATGATTACTTTGGAGAGTCATTCTCCAATATAAGCCATTTCCTCTCCCTATTCCAAAGGACCAAAATCACATTATTTGAAAGCATGGCAGAGTTCATACAAATCTTGCCTTATGGAAATTAGGCACTGAAGAAAGGTGTATCAATTTGCTGACTTGATAAATAGGAGATTTTTGATAGGGACAAAAAAATAAGCAGCCTCATCTAATTATCTACAAAGTGCATCAAAGAAGGCTGTGGATTACATTGTGTCCACACCACCACTACCAAACATGTATTAGACTCCTTACTTCTTTACCTCTGGAAAGGAGCCCTACTGGCACAGTAAAACCCTGGGCTACTAACTAAAAGATGAGCAGTTCAAACCCACCAGCTGCTCCCCTGGGGAAAGATGCAGCTGCGTGGTTCAGTAATGATCGCAGCCTTGGAAACCGTGGGCAGTTCTACTTGGTCCTACATGATCACGATGTGTAGGAATCGACTGACTCAATGGCAAAGAGTTTGTGTTATATGCCTCAAAGCAATCCTGTTTGGAACTGTTAGATCTCTCTGTAGCTAGATCTACACCTCGGTCCTTGGCTCCACGCGAGAAAGAATTCACGCCAAAGCCTGGTTCGTGATCGAAGTGAGTTCTATGAGAGTTAGAAAAAGTCTCAGGTTTACACGGCACCCGAGGGGCTCCTCCGGAACACGCGGCCTGGTTGGAAGCTGCTCGGCGTCACGCAAAGGTGTCCCAAAGTCCTGCCAAAGCTCTCTGTGCCAGAGTTCTCTCTCTCCCCTCGACTCCTGGCTTCTGCCTTTTCAAGGATTCCACGGGGAGGCGTGGTGGAAGACCCCTGATCAACCCCATTGGCTGAATTTAATTCACCTGGCCTAGGTGGGCCAATTCAAGTTCACGCCCACCCCTACCTACCGGCGGGAATCCAAACCTCTGGGCATGTGCAATGCGCCACTCCTTTGTTCCCCTAGCTTGGCCCTGGGCACGCACAAACGGACATTCCCAGCTCTAGCTAACCTACCTAACAGAACTAGAATTTCTCTGTTCTGTTCATTAGATCACACCCAAGTCGGATGAGCTCTTCAGCTAATCAGGACTGACTTATAAAAAGGTCAGAGCAGACAGACACACATACAGGAGCAGACAGACAACAAAAGAAGCCCAAGCATCTTCAGCAGGAACCAGACACTAGGAGAGGCACTCACAGAAGGGAGCAACATGGCCGAGACCCCAAAGCCGGACAGTTCGTCTCCAGAAGTGTGAGAAAATACACCTCTGTTCTTTTAAGCCACACTAGGTCACTAAAATGTAAGTTGGCAAAGCTAAACAGCAACAAGATTGGAAGACTTGAATTCGTGAACATTCTCTAAAATAAATCAGGAAAAAAAATCATTTTATATTGCACAACACAATGTATAGAGAAGGCTGTCCATCACTCTTTGATGATTTTAATGGTGATGATGGTCTAAATCAGTATTTCTCAAAAGATGCTCTTTCGATCACCTACATTAAAGGGGCAGCACTGCTCCAATCAATTCACTCAGCAAAAATTTATGAAGTGTCCTAGGCACTGAAGATACAGCAGTGACCAAATGAGATCAAAATTCCTACTTTCTAGTTCAGGAAGAAGAAAGTTAGACAATAGACTTAATAGACTAACAGACAACAGTGAAATATATATTAGTAGTACATTCTCCGAAGCCATGGAAACCAGGAAAACTGAAAGAAAACAAAACAAAGAAACAAACAAAAGCTCAATGCGGATGGCTCAATGCTGACTCATAATGACCCTGTAGGACGGAGCAGAACTGCCCCTGTGGGTTTCGGAAACGATAACTGATCCTGGAGTGGAAAACCTCGTCTTCCTCCTGCTGAACAGCTGGTGATTCGGCCTTAAGGTTAGCAGCCCAATGCTTCACCCCCACAGCCACAAAGGCTCCATAAAACAAGAAAACCCCCAAACTCACTCCCATTATGTCCGAAGCGACCCTATAGGGCCGGGTAGAACTGCCCCAGTGGGTATCCAAGCCTGTAACTCTTTATGGGAGTAGAAAGCAGAATGGAGGGTATGAAATGTTGAAGTAGCATTGAAAAGTAAATAGAGTGGTCAGGGAAAGATTCCCTGGGAAGGTGGCTGTTGAGCAAATATTTAAAGGAAATGAAGGTGGATGTCAAATCTCAGGGAAAAGGGTTCGAGACAATGGTTAAAGAAAATATGCACAAAGACCTGAAGGCAGGTGTTTCAAAGAGAAGCCAAGAGGCTGGTGTGTCTAGGCCTGAGTAAATGAGGGAGAAATAAAGGAGGGGAGGGGTGACCACAAGGTCCATGCAGGACACAGTAAGGATTGTCTTTTACATTGAAAGAGCTAGGAAGCCATCAGGGTTTTGAGCGAAAGGTTGGTGACATGACCTCACTTCGGATTTAACAGGCTCGCTCTAGCTGTTCTGCGGAGACAGCTGGCAAACAAAGAAGGGGCGGAAGCAGGAAGACAGCTCCTTGTTTTCAAATGCAGATCCCCCCTCTGCCTCCTCCAGAGCACCTGACTCTGGAATTTGTGCTTTTCACAGGCACCCTGGTGATTCTTAAGCACAGTAGATTTTGAAAACTGCTACTTTAAATTATCTAAGCAATTGAGACCAAAGGGGGGAAAAATAATAATTCTATGGTGTGACTATGTGATAATCACCAATTCACCGATTCACTTTGTCTGTGGGGAAACTAGGTCTCAGC